GCAGTTTCACTAAAAAGAATCTTGTAGCCCTCCCAGAATGTAATCTCAAACATACTGAAGATCCTCAGCATACACTTAACAGTGTATGTGTGTACAGGGTTGAACTCTTAATATACAAATAATGTATTCAGCTATATCTAAATCATAATTTAGAATGGTCTATGTTCAAAAATGAGACTGCTCACAGGAACAGTAATGTACATACTCAACCACTTGCAAGATGTAGACTTTAATTTTTTTCTTACTATAAAAAAAAAGGATCTTTTTCTCCTCACTCCACTTAGCCCAGTAAATAATAACCTCCATTATTGTAACATTTTAAAGGCAGAACAAGTGATTTATTACTTTTAACTTAAATTTCCTTCAAACAAAATTCAAATCAAATAAACAATTTTTCTTCCAATTACTGGACTTATTTCCTTGTTGAGAGTAATCTGACATTATCTGTTATTCCATACAATTTTGCACAATATTAAAAAAGATACAACATTTATTCTCTTCAGCTTTTCCAGTAGCTGTTGTTTTTGTCATGAAGCAGAAAAGAGGTTTTTTGCTTTTACAAGTACTGAATGCCTTTATATGACTTGTTCATCATTAGATTTCCTGGTTTGTATTTGCTAAATATTCTCCACTAATGATTCTTAAATTACAATGGATTTAATGATTAGATACAATTAAACTTATTTTAAATTAAATCCATGAAAGTCCCATCTTCAAGTCAGTGACTGATTTTGCAACACAAATCATTAGAAGAACTTCCTTCAGCAGCAAGTAACTGAAAGTTATTTGCCTATTCAAGACAAGTAAGGATTATAGGCAGTTTAAGAGAGGAGAGGACAGTCACAATTTATTCCAAATGAATTTATGAACACATTCTCCAATTTGCAGTTTCTTCTCCTTTCTCCCCTTACAAAACAAAAATTAGGCAAAAAAGAGACCACGAAATAAAAATATAGCTCTGTAACTGCACATTCTGTTCAGACCAACCTTTCAATTCCTTTTTGTAGCAGAGCTCAAATGCAGCAAGGGAACTACAGTGAAAATAAGAAATAATTACTACTGCAGCTCTACCTAAAACTGAGAGTTTAGAGATAATCATACCACTGAACCTGTCCCTGTCTCCTTATCAGCCCATAACACATTTATCAGATCTAGGCAGTCACACTTGCTCCAGTGGGATAATTCAGGTGAACACAGATAAGGTGTAAGAAAGAAAATGGCAATCAGGCCCAAGACCAGTCAATTCACCTATAAATCATAAAACCAAAGTATACACTTCTGCTTAAGATCCCAACAGTATAAGCTGTTACTTTCATAAGGACAGTCCTGACAACCAAGGAAACAGTCACAGGAGGATTAAATGGCAAGATTTACCCCTCCTTCTCAACAGTAGGAGGAAATTAATACATTTCAATACATTGGTTGTGTGTTTGCTGAAAGCAGCTACAGTTAACAACAAACAAAAAAAAAAATCCAAGCCATTTTCTCCTTGTCTGAATAAAACATACTCTCAACAAGGAAACATCCAACTACTGCAACTCGACCAGCTTATTGTTTTGCCCACTGTAAGTTAATATCTGAAGTGGTTGCTGCAAAGGTCCGGGCCATTTGGATGATTTCCCAGTGGCACAGCTAACAGGATAAATCTCGTCATTTCTACTGAGTCATGAATTAGGTACACTGAACAAAACTGGAAAAGAATGAAAAGGAGAAGTGTTTCCTGGTAACAACCATAATCAATGTCATTTAGAAACGGAGATATTTGGCATCTTTATAGATTACTCTTTTGTCACCACTAAAGCCTTCCCAAAAGCTTCTTCCCTGTAGACAATAACTATTTTGCCACATTACTTTCAAAACTGTAATACCGTAGCATGAAATTCAACAATGTGGAACCAAACCCACAGAATCTCAGGAAAACACTGTAAAATGGACTTCATACCTTATGGTACAGTTATTCTATGTCAAATGCCTCTAAAAAAGCAGTGTCTGTATGCAAATACTCTGCCTTGTTACACACAGGGAAATCAATGACCAAGAAAAGCGTGGTGCCTGTCACAGCCAGCCACACCAGAAGGGGTTGGGTGGGTGAAAACTGGGCATTTATTTTAAACAGCTCCCAAACAGAACAAAATATGAAGCACAATTCCAAAATAGCGGTATTTTCAGCAAACAACCAACAGCTCCATCCTGAAAAGCTTACACCCAAATGATCCAATTCCCAGAAATAATCCTCACCACAACCCCTCAAGTTTTTGTTTGGCTCTTCAGAAAGTCCAAAAGACTTGCTCAGGCACGGAAGCATTCTGCAGGATCATAACTTAAACACTGTGAAACAGCAGAGTAACACCACAGAGACATTGCAACAGCAGGATACTTCTTCCCCATTGTGATTACTTCAAAGCTGCCCTTTTTATTAGTAGAGCAGTGTATCATTTTGATTCATTCTCTTTGGAAAAAAAAAAATTAAAAAGTAAGATTTGTTTAGGAAAAAAAGACCTTACAGGCAACTATAAAAATCAGTTTTGCTCTTGTTAGAGAGCATCTTTTACACTCCCTACTTGCAGCTTTCAACTGTGGATAAACCAAAACCAGGAGGCACATTCTGTAATCTAAGCCAGACTGCAGAGGGAATTACTGGGTACATGGCACTCTGGGGCTGGAGAACAGGAGACACACGGCACGATGGTCTGAAATCAAGCTGTCATCAGTTTCCTTCCCAAAACCTTTCACTGGGTAAATCTGAGTATTTCCCTCACTTCCACGTCTCAGCTTTATCTCGTTATATCACATCCACATGCAGCTATCCCAGTCCTTTATCATCCTCAGAGAACCGGGGTTGGTGGGAGATGGTTTGCACTGCTCCTTGAAAGAGCAGCAGCTCTCCTGTCTGCAGCACAGCCCGCTTTAGAGACACTGATTTGTGAGATGGAGCACGGTGAGCACTCCAGAATGCCCCAGTGGACATTAAAGCACTTGCTGACACTGTCCAGGTCAGAAGGAGCAGCACATCCCACACATTTTAAATCAGACTCAGAATGTTACTTTAAATTTTATTTTCCCTAACTCCTCCTGAAAATGTCTTCTTGGGGGGAAAAAAAAAGCAAAACCAAACCAAACAAAAATTCCCAACAAACAAACAGGAAGCCACCCAAAAAACTCAGTGTTGCCATCTTTGGAAAAATCCAACATAATCCATCAAATCCTCCTGCTCCGTTAAACGAGCCCTCTCCTGCCCATGGACACCTACTTACTCCCATGACTCAAGTCACCCATACACTGAAGCAACCTCAAGGTAACACCCTGGATGGAAAACATACTAAACAAAAACAGCAATAAAATGTAAAACACTTTTTTTTTCCCCAGTGGTGAAAATGGGAAATTGATCAGTCAGGAAAGATGAATTAGGAACCTTCTCCCATGCTCACCTACATCTACTCTAAAAGTCCCGAGTGAATGCAAAGTTAAATTCTCCCTCTTTCCCTCCTGCCCTCCGCAACAAGAGGGATATGCATGAAAAGAGGGCTAAAAAAATTTTAGAAGTATTTCAACAGTCTGACTGGACAGGGCAATGCATGGGCAGGATTTTAAGCTAGTATGAGCCCTGTCAAGTGGCACCAACCTCACCCGTGGGACCACAAGGGACTAGAACAGCCCCTGAGTCCCTTCACAGGCAGCAGTTGCAGCAGCACAAGAGCTTGTAGCTCTCCCTTTATACTACGTGAATCCTCCTTCCCTCCCCTCCAAACAGGAGTCTGTGTAACAGACCTTCATTTCATTCCTGCCAAACATTAACAACCTCTTTTTTTTTTTTTTTTTTAATCAGGAGAGAAGAATTGCAGCATTAACAAACAGAAAAATAAAAAAGGTAATTTATAACCTGCTGCTCCGCTCTGTCTGTATTCAGTGCTGATGAACAAACACATCCTAGAGGCTGTCGGACAGACCTAGCACAGATCGAGGTGTTCATTAACATAACTCCGCGGCAATGAAAGGTGCCATCACCCTAGGTAACAAGCTCACAAAAGAAAATGTCACTAGTCCAAGGGCATGCAGCCTGCTTTTAATTTTCAGAAGAAAGGACAGAACTGGAAAAAATCCCAGTGAGAACAGTCTTACAGCGACAAGATAACTGCACTTACATATCTAAAATAGAGAATGGGAATAGACTGATAAGAGAAAAACCCTTTTAACATTACAGAAAACATTGTCTTAATAACCTTAGGTGTACATATGTCTCTGCAAGCGACTTTGTAGCATAAAGAAATGTTCCAATTCCCTCTGAGCCCATTCAGTGACACCTTAGAGGGATTATTTTAAAACTGAATTTCGATTAACAAATTTCAGCTGAGATAACCAGGTCTAGCTGAAAAGTGTAATGAAACAGATTTTTAGTAGGCAACTCCTAACCCTACTTCAGTGCCACGTCTTTAACGATGCACAGCTGAAAATCAGGCATTTGTTAACCAGCAGAATTTGACCTTTCGGGCACCAGGAGTTCCCAAGTCTAAGGATTCACCGCCTGAATCCAGCATTTGTAACACCTCCATGAAATACAAACTATAAAATCCAAGCAACCGTGGTGAAACTGCTGAATAAGAACCAGACATTTATTGTCAGCCAGGCACGCTCACAAACAAACACCCCACACGAACTCTGTGGCCAGTCTTCAGCACCAAGCCCAAAACAAACACCTTTGAGACGCGACCGCATGAGCAGCTTAGGACAACTAAAGAGGATGCTGGTCTCAAGATTTTTTAAATAATATTGAGAGACACTCAGCTTCACACTGGAAAAACATAGTCTGGTTTACCCTGTGCCTCCAAGGTGCTCAGGAAAAAAAAAGTTTTCAAGCTTGACGTTAAATAAACAAGTTAGGAAACACACTAAAGACCAGAAAGGGAGTAGGGAGGTGGGGGGAAAGCTTGTTACGTTTTTATTTGTGTGGTGAATAGGTTTTTGGTGATGGTAGTGTTTAGTTCATGCATTTTCAAACTCACCCTTCACGCTTTGATGTTTCTGCTGCTGGAAATAATCTTTGGAGCCTCTAGCACATCGCAGCTCCTGCGCCCTGGGCAGAATCGGGATCCTCTCAAATATGCTGGGTCGTTTGGGGATGAAATCTAGCAGAGGTGCTGACATTTCAGGGGGGCTCTGCTGAGGCTCCGTGTGGTCACTGCCGTTACTGACAGATACTTTGAAGGACATCTGAGGATTCAAGTGAGGTTTACCAGCGCCGGGACGAGTCACCCGCGGCAGATCCTTCTGAGACGCTCCCTGGCATTTGTCGCTCACCTCGACGCGGGCGCTGCCTTTCTGACCCGCGGCGAGCTCACAGTGCATGTCCGCTTGCGGCTGCTGCCAGGGCCCCCGCCGCTCTCCTGCACCGAGCGGCACACGGGCTGTCAGCGCGGGCGGCCGCCGCGGACCCGCCGCCTCAGCCCCCGCCTCAGCCCTCAGCCCTCCGTGCCGCCGCCTCCCGCCTCAGCCCCGCGCCGCCAACGGCCGATAACCGCCGCGCGTGAGGCGGCGCAGCCCGCAGACCTCAAGCCCGCAGCCCTCAGCCCCCTGCCCTCACGCCGCGGCCCCCGCCCGCTGTCTCACACACACCGGCCGGACGGGGGAAGACCCGGGGCGCTCGGACCCCGGCGGCGGCTCGTCCGTGACGGACGGGGCGGCCGATGCCGCGCGTCGGCTTCGCTCCCTCTCTAGGCAACACTGCCGGGCTGCTCGGAGCCGCTCCCGGGAAGGCGAGCGCGGCCGGGAGGGGCGGGGAGGGGGCCCGGCACACGGGCGGGTTGTTTGGCGGCCGGTGCCTTTCAGCTGAGGCATCCGAACAGCGGCCGCCCCGGCAACCACGGACGCGGTGGCAAAGCGGGCTCGCCACCGCCGGGCTCGCCGCGGCCCCCGAGTCACCGGTCCCCGAGGGAGGGAGGGAAGGAGGGAGGGGGGAGAGCCCGGCCGGGCGCGGTGACAGCCGCGCCCCCGCGCTCCTACCTGGGAGGGGCCGCCCGGGGGACGCGCTGCCCGCCGGCTCCCGCCGCCGCGCCGGGCGCACGGGCTCAGCCCCACTCCCCCGCCGCAGGGCCGGCTGCCAGAGCGCAGGCGGCCCGGGCCATTACCCTGGCGCGGCGGCGGGGCCAGTCGGGGCGGGCAGGGGGAGGGCTGTGCCGCCGGGGCCGCCCCTCGGGGTTTGGCAGAGGGGTACGCCCGCGGGCCGGGTCCGGCTGCGCATCCAGGAACGCGGCAGGAGGGCTGCGGGTAGCCCGTGCTTGCGGGGATCAGTGGGCCAAGGTCAGTCTGAGAATAGGTGTGCCCTGGGTCTGCACCTTCCTGGTGCCCGACCAGTGGGGAGTCCCTGCAGATGCCCACTTGCCTCCCGAGAGGTTCTTGATTTTCCCTCCCGCGGCCCCGCTGCCATGAGCCTGGACCCGTTCCTTTTGCCCGAGGTCGTCGAGGATCCTTGTGCCTGTCCCCAGGCAGTCTGCTCAGGCGTGCGGCTGCCCCGGCACTGCACATCCACAAGCCAACCCACCACTGAACAGCTGGCAGTGCCCTATAAACAACTTGTGTGCGAAAGCCACAGCCACTGCAGCATGTCACAGCAGAGCAGCAGGAGAGAGCAAAGCCTTGCCAGGGACAGGGGCTGGGAAGCAAGAGATGTGTTGGAGGTGGGTAGAACCTGGCCAAGACATCTCTCTGGTGATGCGGTTCCAGCTGCATTCAGCGCTTCAGTCTATGGACGTGGATCGTTTCCTGCCTGCCCTACAGGTGCAGGAGCTGTCCCGTGCCCACAGAGACAATTAAGCTAGCTCAGAGCAAGCACCACAGCACAGTGACATTTGCACTGGCTCCTCCTGGGCCAGCCTGGGTCTGGAAGCAATCTGGTTGGGTTTATTAGCTTGGGCCTGGTTCCAAGCAAATGCAGGCTTGGATGCACAGCTTTGCACCAGAGAGTTGTATTAGCCCACACTTTTCTGGCTCAGAGATGTCTCCACCCTCCTGCCCTACATGCTGCTGTCAGCACAGGTGCAGCACAGCAGGTCTGTAACACACCAGGACAGCTTGAAGATAGGAGAGACTCGGAGTCAGCCCTGATTTACATGGGTGTAAATCATACAGACATCTGGCTGGAAATCCTGCTTGTTCACAGCAAACCTAAAGGAGAGGCTTGGGAGATTTAGCACAAGGAGGAGGGACAGCTACTGAACTGGCATCTTGCTACACCCCTCCTGAGGAGAGTCCCGCAACGAGACGAGAGATCTTCATCTTCTTGTAGCACAGATGCTGCACAGAGTGCCTGACTCACAGTTTTATCCAACCCTTAATAACAAGTGCCACGCTGCAGTGTACAGAGTACAGGAATGGTCAGGACAGCAGGGCATGACTTTTTCTTGGCAAATGCTATGAATGTTGTGGATTTAGTGGGAGGGAAGCAACTCTCAATAAAAGATACAAGATCTTGAGATAGAACAAGTAGTTCTGGGAGAAGCAGTACTAATGACTGTCATTTGCAATGCCTCTCCTCATTCCTGCCTAGTGTGGATGACCTGAGGTCTACCAAGCAAGGAACTTGCCAGCCTTTCCCCTCAGTAATGGCAGTAATAGGGTCTTTTTCTTCTGTAAGACCATGTCTTAAATAGTCAGAAGTTAATAGCTGTCTGTCAAATGTGGTTGAAAATTGGTAAACATCCTCTGAATACCTTAGTGGGAACAAGAAGCTACAAGAAGAGAGAAAATCCCCACGTTACCTCTATGGGAAACAAAACTGAATATCAACTAGCTGGCACAAACATTGAATTGGATGGTAATATCCTAGGGATTTATGAAAACAAAGTAAAAATTTTCAGTATACATTATCACACCACCTCTTAGTGCTCTGCTAACCTATGTCCCCATCCCCCAGTCCCATCCATCCATGAGGCCCTCAGGACCAAGCTGTTCTTTTTCTTTGATTTGGAAATGCTAAAGGCACCTGGCAGTATTACCACAAGCAGTAATTATTTAAGACAGAAATACGCCATGGCGACCGCCTAAACCTCAGTTGACATGAAGAGGCAGTAAAATTTACAGAGGGAAATATTATTCCAGAACACAGTGTAACCAGAGAAATCCCACTGCTTCCAGTGCAGGAAATAAATAGCATTTAGGTGGATCCTGAATGTGGGCTCATCTTGTGCAAATTATTACAGCTATATTGATACATGCTGCCCAAATATCTAGAGGGAGTTTCCTAGAAAACAGGGAGTTTTGGATATATTATGTACCTTCCTGGAGGGATTTTCTTTTGTGGTTAGGGATTTTCCCACAGCAAGCAGGGAGGAGCTCGTTAACCCTCATCACTGCATTCTGTACCTGAAGTCGTGTGTGTCCTGCTCTGAACCGCTGCTGCTTTCTTTTTATCACCAATACCCAGAACTTTCTGCAAAATACCGGCAGGTGCCGCCACTGGCTCAGCAATCGCCCAGGGCTGGGCTGTTCCATGGGCAGGAGCGGGCACGGAGCCTCCTCCATGTGCTGGGCACCCTCTACAAGCCAGGAAAGGTTTGGGCTGAAGCACATCACAGCTCCAAGCTCCAACAGCGGAGGGTAAAGGCCCTTCACACCGAGATGAATTTCTCCGTGGCAGATCGTGTCACAGAAATACAGACCTCATAGCTCAAGCTGCAGGTCTCCCCATATTCCTCCCACAGGAAATGAGGCCCCATGGGCTCAAAGCTGTGCTCACAGCGCTGTTTCCTCAGGTTCGAGTAAGGCATTTGGCAGCTGCCCTGACCTTAGTGGGACTGTGCAGCTGGGGATGCCCAGCCCTGGCCCTGAGCAAGACAAAGAGGTGGTGGATGGACACTCTCTTCCAGACCTGGATGTGTCTGATAGAGACTTGGCCCCTAGAGCTGTTGGAAAACAACAACTTGGTCCCTCTGGCGAGTGCACAGACGTGGACGAACAAGTGCTGGGAGAAACAAATGCTCCTTGAATAACTGTACTAATGCAAGAGTTAAGTAGTCCCTTTTCTCACCCTACTGAACCAGAAGACACTTCATGTTTTGGTTCTGGAACAAAGGTCAAGCAAGTGCAATTGTGGCTGCTGAGACTGTTTCATGCCCTGGGTCACCACGACTTTGCTGCATACACGAGCTGTACAGCACACTCTGATTCACCCAATGTTGTCACTGCATCCATGAGCTCGATGGGTGTCTCCCTTCTTGTGTCCTTGGGAAAACCAGTCATTGGCCTCTCTCCCCCATGACAGAAATAGTCTGCCCTTAGGAAAGTGGGGGGCAGATTTCTCTTGTTCAACATTCCTGGTTGCCAAGGGCCATGGTCATTGGTCATGGCATGGCCCACAGTTAGGCCACTTTTCTCTCTTAATGATGTCACCATCAGCAAAGCAAACCTTTCAGTTGAGGCAGACAAGCCATCTTCAGTCCCTGAAGCTAGTCCCTGCTTCATTCTGAGTCACATATGAAAGGTGGGGTTGCAATTTGGTATAAAAAACATCCAGAGAAATGAAACTGCTTGCCTGAATATCCTCTCACCAGGTCAAGTGGGCAGGACACAGGTGCTGAGTAATTAGAGACTTGCCCATCTGCCCATTCACTCCTAGTCTAAGGCTAGCTTGGGCCAGAGTGAAATTGTACCACTAAGGAGAAGAAGTTTTAAAAAGTTTGATACATTTTCCCTGCTGACACCAGCCATGATCAGATCATTGCCACAACAGTGTTTTTAGGACTTACAGGTGCTTTTGCAGATGCTCAACAACCTCCTTACTCTGAACTGTCCCTGTGCTCACAGCTGCATAGGCAGACACAGTTTCCTGCCTCTGGATACACAGGAGGACACAGAGATCATCTGTAAGAGGAGGGGGGAAAGGACACTGCATGAAGGAGACTCCAGTTCACCAAATGCAGCCTTCAAAGCTCTTTACCTTTGTCAGGAAGCGACGGCTGTAACCGGCCGCCTCACAAACCGGATCTTCGAGAAACTCGGAGCAGCTGAAACCTCCTGTTCCCCCAGCAGTTCTGTGGGAGGAGAGGAATGAGGCAGAACGGATACAGTTAAGGTGAGCTGCACAGAGCAAACAAAGCAGAGGTGAAGTATTAATCTCTAGTTCACATATTGAAGTCATCTATTCCAGCAGGCAACAAAATGAGATTTTAAAAGGACACAATTGAAATTGTGAGAACTTTGTGTCACTGCTGCAGTGCAGACAGAGGTGGGAGGTGTTACCATAAGCATTCTCTTAATACTGGGCAAAACAAGCTCTCTGGTGGGAGAATAACAAACTTTATTATAAATAACCTGGTTGCAAAGGAACTGTCAATTTACACACAGCAGTTTATTTACAAAGGCATGCCAAGTCCAGACTTGTTTTTGTTTTAATTTACTGCACCACAGATAGCAAAGGAGAAACAACCAAACAAAAACTGAGCCAAAGGAATTGTCTCTGTGAGTATGCCCATTTCTTAGAGATTGCCCATATCCCTTTAAGGCAGCACAAAGCCCTTCTTTATAGTGGTTTGAAAATGACCTCCTAAATTAAGGCAGCAGGGTCAAACTGACCACACATTATCTAGTGATGGACTCAACTATTGCCTCATAACTTAGAGATTTGTTTATAGTTCTTGTAGTTAGAAAAAAGAAATTCCTCAGATCATGCTGACTTATCTTTTAAAAATAAACCTCTTTACAATAGCATATTTTGGGAAAACCACATGGTGATCTTAAATCCACCTTTGTCTTGCAGAAACTGCAAGAAACAACCATCATCTCCAAAAGCCACTGTAACACTACAGATCCCTCCTGCCTCTCCAGTTAATTGGCAGATCATTCCTGTGAACTTTGAGGAAAAGAAGGGTCCAACCAGGCTCCATTCAGGATGTGGTTGTTTACACCTGCAGTTAGTTTCCTCAAACATTCATCTGTACTATTTCTCTGCATCAATCCATAAACAGATCTATCTCTCACATCATGTATACACAACACAGGTAGTAAAATAAACTTCAGTCATAAACAAACAAACAAACAAAACCCCCTCAGAACAGCACAACTTAAGAATGTTCAGCTTGTAAAATCCAGTCCTTGGCACTGAGATGTCCCAGGACTAGAATTGCTGGTACAAACTTGACTCATGCCTACTCTAAATGAGTTACAGAACTGGAGTTATAACATGACCCCCAGTTATTTCGCCTAGGGTTCCATATATTCAATGCACTGAAGACAGTGATTGCTGAATGAACAGCTAGTCACTCTTCTTTCTGTTTTCTCTTCACTGGCACAGTGTCTGGGCCACACAGTGAATGTATTTACTGAACGCCAGCCAAGCCCTGTGCAGAATACAGAATTATTCATTTACTCCAGGGCATTTCTTTGGTGTCCATCACTGCAGCAGCCTACTAATTCGGACACCAACATTTCCTTATCATCACTGGAGGTGAGGGAAGGTGGGGTTAGGCTAAACCCCATTTCACAACAGGGGCCCAGAAACCAAAATCTTCAGTTTGAGTGCTAAACTTCTG